ATTCACTTCCGTTTATGTAGATCAGGCTTTTAGGACCACTTCCAGTTAGTTGTGACTTTAACAGTGCACAAACCTTGGCTTTTTAATCTTTTCATTTATACGTTTTTTACTCTGTAGTGTCACTTTTCCTTATTTTTAGATTTTGGATATAAGATGTCATGTATATTTGTTGTAATGAGCCCTAGCATATGGGTAATGGCACCAAATAAAGGTTATATAAAGAAAATGTTTTAATGAAGTGACAGAACTCAGCGGTAGAGTGTTGACTTACCAGTGGCAAGGTTCTGGTCCATGCCCAACCAGCTCCACTCCGTTGAATCAGCTGTCATTGAGCACTGGCATCAACTGCTAGGGTCAGAGTCTGGGCAGAAAGGAACCGGCTACCCTGCAGCTTAGTGTTCATCTACAGACATACCCCCATGAGACAACCGTATTGAAGTTCATTGGTACTATAACACAATTTCCGTGATCCTATATTCATTTGCCTTCTTTTTTTTTCTTTTTTTTTGGGGGGGAGGGGGTGAAAAATTAAGTCTGTTTTTTGGGGGTTTCTAGTTTTAATTTTCATTCATTTCTAAGGTAAATAAATAGTCTTTGAATTTTCTTTTCCATAGTTTACTAGATTATTATTACCAGTTCATGAGTATTTTTTTTTCTTTTCTTTTCTTTTCCCAATGGTTAAGGAAACCATATACCACAACCATGTGTAGGTTTAGCCAAACTCTGATCTGTCCAATTAATGTCTTTCCTGGGTTCCTATGAGTGGTGAACAAAGGATAAATGTGGCTAAGCATAATATCAAAATGATTACGGTATTAATCCATTGCCGCCGGGGAAAATTAACAAAAAATGGGGAAAATGCTGTACTCATTTTTTATATTTTTGTGAAATATCTCTGTCCATAGATGGCTCTGCTAGTCCTGATTTCACCTTTCCTTGAATTGGCAGGAAAAAATGTATTCTTACTAGTGCTATAAATATAGGTGGTGTTATTTTTAACAACAAATTAGGATAACGTTAAATATTTTCGTAAATTGATGAAAAGGGTGAACGGGCGAGACAGGCAGTACTCGTAATTGGCTCATTGGATACTTAGTACAAGTGTAGCCATCTATGTGTAAAAACAATCGAACAAGTCAACTCACAGTGGGCATGGCATGTACGTACATGCCATCCCTGGCGGCAATGGGTTGACTCGTTAGACCCAGGTGCATGTAGACCAAAATCTGGGGGTTAGGCTTATTTGAGTGGCAATTCTCCTGGGTGTGTGGCTTGTGGGCCAGTCCTACAGAAGCCTCCACTTTACAATGTTGTTATCTTATTTTCTGTATTAGTGTTTTCATGCTTTCCACTTTCCAAAGCCTGTATTTGTCATTTGATATGTTCTAACAAGATGGTAATAGACTTTTTCCTGGAGCAGATGGTGGGAAGGAATAGGAAATTGATACAGAAATAGTGTCCTCCTTGGAGCTGGCAGTCTTCCAGCCATGGCTCATGGATAGTCTATTCCACCCTTGTTTATCTGTGGAAAAATTCAAGCCTCATCCTAGATGCCCACTGAGTCTGATCACCCTCCAATATCTTTGCGTACTCATGGCGAGTCTTGCTCTTCACTTTGGCCCTTTGAATTTTTCATGACAACAGTCACATCACCTGTGATGTGACTGGTGAGTCACCTGTGATGTTCTCATGGGGAAAGAGGAGCATAGAGAAACAACTGCTTATCTTTGTGTGTTGGACTTACATGTACATTTGGGACAATTGCTTATTGATGGGTTTCTGTGTGGTATGCTTTTTTGTCTGAACATACTTGCTTTTACTTGTGAGTGGGGGCTGTTGGGATATTTTTCTGTAATTTTTTGTCTAGAGGAGAATGGTGACAAAGGTAAATATGGTGATCTTTCACAACTGTGATATTAATTTGTAGTTTTTGATAGGTTTGAATTAATTTTTTAAGGAAAGGTCTTCGATGATGGTTGAAGTATTTTCAAAGTAAGAAATAATCTTGCTACATCCTACCCACTGTTGCCAGGGATGTGCTCGGCTCAACGTGATTTTGTTGTGATATTTCTCTTTACATAAAGATGGCTCCACTAAAACTTAATCATCAAGCAATTAACTGATTACTGCTAGAAAAATGTATTTTTTTGTTAAATGTGGGCATGGCATGTACATGCATACTGTCCCTAGTGGCTTCAGGCTAATGGCCAAGCCTTAATAGCATCCTCCATCTCCCCTTCTTTAATATCCTTGAAATTCAGAGAATAAGATCAATAAGTAAGATCAGGCAGGTCTAGTAATTGATTCTTTAGTAAGAAATTGCGTGTGGAGCCGTCTATGTTTTAAGAAATTGTAATAATAGAACCATAGTGGATTCTACATGCATGTGTGCACTCCTGGCATCTACAGTGCAGCGGCAAGTACTCTTCTGATTATTTCCTAGTGCTGTTAGATTCTTTTATCTAGTGATTTGCTAGAAGAATAATAAATTGAGATTTTATCTGAAGTAATAGATGTAAAGATTCATAGGCCTATAATAGGTGTCTTATTAGATATGATGCATTGAGCAGCTTCCATCTAGAAAGCAGTTGGTATGGAGACGAGAGGAAGTGTTGAAGAAAGCAGTTTAGATTGCTGTTTTATTACCTGTGTTTATTACACTTTTGCCATTGTACACATTGGGCGAGGATCAGGTCACTGTCTTGGAATCAGATTTGCAATGCATTCATGAGGTGGTGGTGTTTTTTTTTTTTTTTTTTTTTTTCTATAAATTCATGCGTTCATGTCAATAGTCTTACAGTGAAAATTAGTTTCATCCATATAAATATTCAAAATTATAAGTATAATTAAATACCAATAAGAAGCTCACATGATGATACAGAAATCATAATAGAATTGGCTTATTGTTTCAGTGATTGTTCAACACATTTGTCAACATGATGGGTAGACAGGAACGGATACAAAATATGATTGATGATATTCAGACGTTGATTTTGATTTGTACAGTATCATTCACTGTTGATTATGAGGAAAAGGACATCTCTAATTTGCTTCCTTTTTTAATTTTTAAAATCTAATCTTGCTTGTGGGATCCATACTTAGAGATACAAGAAAGGCAGTTGATCTAATTATAGACAGTATAAACGCAAACCAGGAAGTAATTCCAGTATGAGTCCCTTCGTGCTACCTGCAAGCTCATGATGGTAAAACCTGAATTCTACTTTGATGATCATTTTTACAGAATTGTTAATGATATCTGCATATTTTTCATAGAAATTACACTAATAATTTTGTGGATTGTATAATGAAGCTAAACTATTCCTTAAGAAAAAGAACAAATTGCTCTGAATAATTATATGGGTATAGTTATGCTTATAGCTTGCTTTGAATATAATTATTTCATTTTAAACAGGATCACTGATATGAGTAACCTTTCTCAGTTAATAGTGAAAAGAAGGAAAGAGAAAGGAGTCTTAATGTATTACTTTTTTAGATATGGATATTGCAGCCTAGTGTCTTGAAGCTCGTTATTAACATTTTACAGTGTTATATATTGTTTTTCAATATTACTGCTTATTCACATTTTTCACAAATGCATACTCAGTTTTTTTTATTATTATTATTATTATTCACTTGGAAAAAGTTAGAGTAGGAGCAGAATTTTTGAGGCAGAACATTTTGTTGTTTAGAAGAAACAAGGATTATGAATAAATTCCTTGAGTGAGGTCTTGAGTAGAGTAAGACCACCCTGAATCTGCATGAAACATTCTAGTTAAGTTGTAAAAGTCTCTCTGTTGTAGTGGTAGTGGGTACGCCATGTACACTTCCTACATGTGTAGTATCTCCCCACAGAAAGAATATTTTCCCACCTGCAATCAGTAATTTGTACTATCCCTTCCTCCCAAATCTTTGCAAGTTTTGTTGTAGGCATAATTTCCCTCCCCTCCCCCCCCCCCCTTTTTTTTTCCTGATTACTTCATCATCCTCTAGTTTTTTTATTGGAGTTATCTCAGCAGAGCTCTGTCCAGGGTTTCTTGTCCTTCCTAGTTCCCGGCCATCTTGTCATCTTACTAACCCTCAACCCTTGTACTTCACTTGACGTAGGTGAACGGAGGCTAAATCAGCTTGCTAGAAATACGCATTACTTCCGTCGGAGAGTAAAGCATATGGGGTTCATTGTGTACGGCAATGACGATTCCCCAGTGGTCCCTGTGTTACTATACCTTCCAGCCGTCACAGCGTAAGTATCTCTACCTCCTCTCCATGGCTTGGGTCCTCGCTGCTCTTCTCTCCACCTCTCTCTCTCTCTCTCTCTCTTTCTCATGATTATTATTATCATTTGTTGATTCATTTATTTGTATTTTTTTATTTTTTTATTTTTTCTTTTTTTTTTTTCTTTTTTTCTTTCTTTTTTTTTTTTACTTTTTTGTAGACTAGGGGATGCTGCCTTTTTCTTGGAAGCTGATGATGTAGATCTTGACCTAGTTGCCTCTGACCACTTTTGCTGTCTTGTTTAAACTCACCTCCGGTCCTCCTTGTGATTTAAATAATCCTTGATTATCGCTCTCCATGGTCTTACTCTTACGATAATATTTGTTGATTTTTATTTGCGGTTGTGATTGTTTTTTATTTATTGTTATTTCATGGGTATTATTATTATTATTTGTAATGCTGTATAAATCTCAGGGAAATGTTTCGTTGAACACAGTGTGTCCCTTTAACTTTCCCCCTGTCCTCCGTTTTGCCTTTCCTTGTCCATTCTGTGCTTTGTCCATCCATCTTGAACCTCTGCAATGTGGGAATGGATTGATCTTTTGCTAGAACGTGTACAGACGCAGTTCCCAGAGCTTCCACAGGTAAGCATTCTGCTCTCGAGAGAAAGAGTTCCAGTAGGCAGGTACTCCAGACCATTCCACCGAGACCTTGTTAGAACAGCAACAACGAAGGCGTCAAGAAGATCGGTCTGAATTACATGATTTATTTCCCATCCTCCAATCTAGGTCGCAGGCGCATCCAACAACTGTCTCGCAATGTCAAGTATTTCCGCCATCGGCTGAGACAGATGGGTTTCATTGTTTATGGCCATGATGATTCACCCGTCGTACCAATGCTATTGTACCTGATCCCCAAAATTGCGTAAGTAAAGGTGGCCAATGAAATGTGATGTAATGAGAGAAAGTAGGGTTGCCACTGTTGCTTTCATTCCTCAACTAATGGTGCAGTTCATTGCTATTTTACATGCACAGAACCTTGCCAAATGTTGGTACTTTGGAGAGATTGTTTGATTTTCTCAGTCAAGAGAAGGAGAAAAAAAATATATTGAATCAGCATTTTCAACACATGGATTCAATATCCGCTCTGCATGGTTTAAGTTTGATACTAATACATTGGTGTGTTTTGTGAATGTACAATATATATAGTACAGGTTTCTAATGTGGATGATAATGTGATGAAAGCTGAATATCCAGGTGGTGTAACAAGATCTTGTTCATTTGTTAGTAGTTTAGATATCCTGATAACTGTAGAGATATTGTTTACATTGCCTAAAGTTGAACAGAAATGAGAAAACCTAGATGCTACCTAATTTTTTTAAATTGGAGTTTTGCTTAAAGTGTACACTAATGTTAGAAATTCTCACATAAATTGGCAGCTCCGTATTGCTGCATTGCATTTGTAGAATCTGGAAATAAAACTTGGCCTTTCTAACTTTTACTAGGTGTAGTACATTCATTTAAGCTATTTACTAATCATAACATATTCATGATCTGTGAGCACTTACGACTTATGAACTGAGTTGAAATTCAATGTTATTGTATAGCTTGTTTTAAGGTTTCATCCATTTACTTAATGGTAATAGATGATTTTTTGTCTGGATGTGGGGCAACCAGATATGGAATGGAAACCAAGATACTGCTGAAAAGATATACTTGTTTTCAGATCATACCCAAATTAGATTCCTGTACTTTGGGAACTGTATTAC